ATTTGTTCTTGTAATTGCAGTTTTAACGGAGCTTTTGCCAGTTCATGTTTCGTATTCAATGGATGGAACTGTAGCCTAGATCACATAGCCTCAATTATTGGAGATTATTTTAACTGATCCCTGATCCTTGAATCTTTGTTCTGTATTGGAGCTGTGTTACCATACTAGCATACTGAAGTGAGAGCTGTATCGCAAATGTATCATCACGCAACAAGGATTGAAATAAACAGAAATTGGACCAAAAAAAGGGCGTTTTTCGACCACCTGACCTTTGACCTCGTGACCTGACCCCCGCTGACCTGGCACCGCGTCTACGCAGTCGCTTCAGGAGAGGACCCTCACACAAATGCATTTAAAACCATCGCATACGCGATTAGCAACTAATAAAAAGATAAGCGCGTATGATTCCAGATTTTTTTCAAGTGGGCACAGATCACCATTGCATACGCGTTCGTGCACCAATACATATAATAGCCGCGTATGTTCCTACGCGGTTAATAAATCATATTTTTAAAACCGCGTATGCGTAGGAAATTTTTCATAGAGTTGAGACCTATGGTGCATGAAAGAGTATTGTTTTCTCTACAAAATAGACTAAAAAAACCTTTAAATTTAAATAGTTAACCGTCTTAAATTTGAATGTAAAAGAACCGTTATTTTTTAAAAATTATAATTTTTAAAATATAATATGTGGATTAGGTAGGCGCCAACCCACTAAGTTAAAAAAAAAACTATATATCCGGTTGATTCCGGTTTGTTCCGGTAAGTTCCGGCTTTAAATCCGAAAGTATCGGGGTTAATCCGGGTTAATCCGCTATTGTTCCGGTTCTAAATGTATACATTAGAAGTCAATTGTATACATTTGGGGTTTATAACGCTGGGCAATGCGTTTTTGCGTCACTGCGGTCTTAGACTTTGAACAGACAACGTCAAAATGGCTCAAGCAATATGATAAATGCCCGAGTTTCTCAAGTAAAGCGTAGCGCCGAGCTTCACGGCACCGGGAAAGCTCCCAACGACCGTAAGAAGATGAAGCCGGCCCGTTCTTCTGGAGAATACAACAATCTCCATAAGACGGCGGTGATAATTCAGCGTTTGAATCCTCATGCCGACGTTCCTGTCGCCGCCATCCTCCAGCGTTGCCAAGCAGAGTTGGGGGACTACCAGTATCAAGTATTTGAACATGACCCTAGCAAAGGAGGACTAGCCTGCAAGATAAGAGGGTTACACCTCCATCTTGTTGTGGTTTCTTCAAGTGTTGGGAGAGACAGTTGGCGTGTGAGACAACTAAGCAAGAGCGTACGTGCTGCTCGCTGTGAGATGTCGGGAGAAGCAATCAGAGACGCCAAAGCTATGATGACGTACCTGTCTATCCCCCCCCCCCCCGCGTCCCCATCTACTCCCATCTACCTGCAGATCGTACCGAGTACGACCCCATCTTCAAGATAAGACCTACGGCAGAGGAGATTGATGCTATGAAGACAGCCAAGGCCCTGAATCGCGGAACAGCAGAGAACCCTAAACCCCAGTATGGAACAACGGACTTGAACAAGAAACCAGACTTGCAATTACTGATGGAGCTCATGGAAAAGTGGGCGCCACGCAGCAGTTATGACTTTATCACTCGTGTGATGAAATCCGAGAGTGAGGAGGTGAAGGCGCGAGTTGAGAAGCTGTATTTTGCTTCCAATTGGCGTGGCAGGTTCCAGAACATTCTGAGAGATCCATCCTTCTTCTTAGCAAGTACGATGGGAGCAGCATAATGACTGTGACTTTCAGTCACCATACCATGATCTAGCAAACCTTTTTTATGTTGTTTGACCTGCTCGTATTGATTAAGGGGAATCCTAAGAAATGTTTGAGCCACCGGCTCTGAATCAGTTGTGTTTATGTGATGTTATACAGTATTCGTCTCGCCCAAGTCAAACTCATGCTCAGCAAATATGTCTTTATGTTTGTCCAATAATTTGTTAACTTCCATCAACTCCTCATCTGAACGTGAAAAACCTGTCAAAATCTACTGCTACTGGGGACTGGGAAGAAGATGTAGATTTCTCTTCAATCCTAGAAATTTGGATGTGATTCACAGAAACCTGAAATTGTACCTCAGAACTACGGTTATCCACAACACCATCTATCATGCGTAAAACTCCTGTACGTGTTTTTGGACGCAAAGTGAATCCAGAAGTGGACAAGTTATCAATCCTAACTGGAAATGTTTTACCTACTTCCACGAGTGTAGAGGCTATTAGAATCGCAACAGGAAGATGATCAGAATTCCTTAATGGCTCTACAATTCCCACTTTGGATGGAGAATGGCTATTTGTCTCTGTTCTGACCGTCACCGACGATTGTGGGGGTACAAAGATGTTCTGACTACCCGCAACTTTCACAAAACCAACCGTCTCTATCTCCTCTGCTAAATCCTTCAAAGCTAAAACTTAAGTCACAAATGTAAGTGAAGGAGAGTGATCACTGTTGTCATCTTTCATCGCTTCAACGAGAGGTCGCAGTAGGTTCATACCTAACAACCCGGGAATCTGTTCTCGGTGTTCTACATCAACTGAATCTTTGACTACCAAAATACCAACTTCCGGAATCCTTATCCCATCAACTTCAACATCAACTTCAATGTAGCCAACATATGGTATTTCAAGACCACTTGCAGAAGTAATCTTCAAAAACAGATTCTCGCTATGTATGTGTGTATCACTTGGCCTAAGTAAAGAATTAAAACATTCTTCAGTAAGAGTTGAGACCAAGGAACCAGTATCGACAAGACAAGTGATTCCTCTACCACCAATATTCGCCACTACTGTAGGACATGTTCCTACCACACGAAATTTACTTGGACCAGTTGAGTCCACTCCATGCCTCCCAATCGATGGACTCTGAGCGAAGGGAGGTTCTAGTTTTCCGATGAAGACTTCTCACTAGCTTCCTTCTTCAGCTTCTCGATGCTGCCTGGGCTTCTTTAAGCTGTAACTTATAACATCTATCCCGGGAATGACCTACACCGTTACAAAAATAACATTTGATTCTGGTTCTACCTTTGTCACTACGACTTGGACGAGACTCAAGATTACATGTTGGATTAGACTCAAGAGTTGTGTTTGTCCCTTGTATTCTAATATGCTCCTGCAATAAATGTGTTACATCCTCAATTTGTTTCTGCTGTTGTTGTATTTGTTGCTGTTGTTTGTGAACAGTGTCAGTCAATGCTAGTGTTTCTGAAGCAAGGCTTGTTCTGGCTGCTTGAATGGAAACTTGCTGTTTCGAGGTTGTGATGTCAGTAGGATCTTCAGCCCAATCAATGGCTTCAGATCGCAAAGTGTAAAATTCAACCGAAGGGGTATCTTTTACTCTTTTCCTCAAATGTTTCCTTAGGAGACTATCTGAGACACCATCTGCAAATTGGTCACACAACACCTGTTCTTTGTGAACACTAAGAGGGGGTGATTTTCGACAAGCCCTGTCAAGGAGGGCATGAGAAAAGTCACGAATGTTCTCTCCTTCCTTTTGTCTTCTCTCAAAGAAAGCACGCTGTAAGTGAACGGAAGACCCTGATCTCCAAAAAGTTCCCTAAAAATTTTGAAACCATCTTCCACTTTCTTTTTAGGTCTGAATTTAACTATTAAATGTGAGAACACGAAATCAACTTTATCTACCTCTGCTAATGAGCGAGACCTGATAGTTGCCTTAACATCACAGATCCAATCCTCTAATTTGAGTGTGGTCTCAGGTAACTTTTTCTGGCTAGGCATGAGAAGGAATGCGGGACTAGTTTTGGCCTTTGGTTCACTGGCAGTTGCAAGGAGTTGTTCCTGCAACTTCTCTATCTGATCCATCATTTCCCCTTCAGACATTTTTGTTTCTGGTTTCCCAACTGACTTAGGTGACTTTCCACCAGTAGCCATCACGCAATAATCATCCTCAGATCTCTGCTGATTATGAGGAGAAAATGTCAGTACACGGACAAATATAATCACAAAGTAGCACGAGCAAGCGGTTAGCATGCATTACCTTAACACGTGTTCTACGTCGGTAAAGAAGCAAATATGGTACGTTGGTGCTACAGCGGTTTGCGGATACGAGAGGCTTAGAGAGCAACAAGCGGGTAGTAACTGCAGTGAAGACAGCAGGGCAGGGAGAGAGGCATGAGGTACAGAAGCCAGAAATGTTCCGGTAAAGCTTCAACCTGCAGATGTAAAAAGAGGAAAAAAAAACTACCACGGTGTTACTAAAAGTCCACACAAAATGTGAGTATATACTTAAATGTGAAATATCTAAAGCGTCATCTCCATGGCAAACTTGATTTTACCAAAATAGCTGTTCTCTGGTTTGACCAATCAAACAACCAATCTGTTCCATATCTGTGATAAATCTGTGTCTAACATGCAAAACTACCACTTGTCAAAACGACATGCTCAATGGCTACAAGTTAAAATACAAATGAATATGCAATATCAAAATGTTAAAAATCTTGACTGCAAGACACTGTTCCCAGTGAATATGTTTACAGTTCACCATCAGTGAAAGAGTTCTATAGCTGAATATTATACTGCTGAATATCTATACGGCTAAAAAACAGGTAATGTGAAGAATGTCTCTCCAAGCTGTCTCAACCACTTGGTGCCGGAATGTGGGGAAGATGGGTGTAGCTAAGAAGGCTCTCCGAGAAGATGTGTGTAGCTACATGTAAAAATACTCTCACTTCAGACGAACATCTGGGCAGCTGTCTGTTTGGAGACTAGATGATGTAAAACGCCTCGTCTTGCGCTGCTGAAGCAAACCACCCTTCTGATGAAAGACGCTTCTCTCCAGAAGGTTGTCATCGAAGATAATAACGATGATGTTGATGATGATAATAATGACTGTCGTTTATATTTGATCAAATGTGTCACAAAATAAGACATCTTTTATGACATCCTGCCGACTACGCCATTTTTGTAACCGAGCTGGAAAGGTTACGCAGAAAATTTGAAAGTGACACTGGGTAAATATTCCACTATAAATGGATCAAAATTTTATTACTACAAAAAAAACGAGTCATTCTCCAGCAGTCTGTAATAACAGAAAACAGAAGAATAGAAATTAATTTATTTACAAATATACAATGACTATGAATCCAATATTCAATTATTAAATTATTTGAAATAACCATCTCTTCTTATCCTTGGTTATCTCTTACGAATTTACAAGTACATTTCTTACGAGAGGCATAAAAATATTAAAGGCATAAAAAATTAATCAAGGAGAAATAATCTCCATAAGCACTTGCTATGCAATAATTTTCCAACACATTAATCTCCAAATCTCTAATTTCTTAGGCACCTTTCAAACAATAATGTTTCATACACGTACCCAAATATTATGGATGCTGGATAAGGGATACACTAGTAGTCTACTCGAGAAGGCTTCTCTGTTTGTGACCATCAGGAACCACAGAACCACAAGCAGTAGCTGTAATAAAATTACTGTACATATTAAGTAATCTCATAAATATTAACAAATTTTTCCATGAAAGAATATTAAATAATCATCGGTGCCATCAAAAAGTTTCATCTCCACAGTACATGTGTACACATCCGTAGTTATTCTATATTGATGAATTTATAATGCATTTTATACAGTACATCTTTTCTTAACATTTGTTTGTTTAAACAGTAATGCCCATAAAAAGAGTATTCAATATTCTGTATTCGTACATCCATCTTCATGTCTCATGTGTTTCATTTCAGGCTAGAACATTCTCTTATTTCTCTTTCCATCCACGCTATCCAAATTTGAGTTCAATAAAGTGCATTGACCCTATAATTCAAACATATTTAGGATCGAAGTATGTGCAAGTATACAGTCAAAGGTTCGATATCAAAAATTCAAGTCATTTTATGCAAAATGTTCATAGGGACTTGGCTTTCAACCGGGGATATTTATTTTATGTCATAAAAATGTTTCATACAGACTTGGCTTCCAACCTTGAGTATTCATGGCATAAAAAGGGGTCGTATAGTGCTAATTAAGATAACGTCAAAATTTACAAAGATGAAACACTTACCGGAGCAGTTGCGGCCTGTGTACCTATGCCTTGGGATGTTTGGGCAAACTACACGATATGCATGTACACGATATGTGTATGCACATGCGGCGTGCTAACCAAGGCAAAACCACGTGAGAAAAACAGCAAAATATATGTGGAGGCCAGCTCGGGCTAGTGATGGGTGTGAATAAATGAATAGACACACCAACACGTGGGTTCGAGTCACTCCATTGGTTTATTTCTATTAAAAGCAAGCGGTGCGCAGGCCAGCAGCAAGGGAGACAGCACGATGGGGAATCAATTAAACAATTACAAACAATGACAGAAAAGGGAGAAAAATAAAAGAAAACCAATAAGTAAAATGTAACATCAATCCTGAGGGAGACCCTATTGTACATAAATTAGAAATATCTAAGACAGCATTTAATTTATGAGAAAGAGTTGTCGAGGTGTGAGAGCACAATACCCAACTTAACTGTAAATCTCTCCAAGAAACACATAAATTTCATTGTAAAAACCAGAATTTCTAAATTGACAGTGATGACAGGGAATTAATTCAGTCTGCCATTAAACAGTCATAAATTATGCTATACAGTAAAAGTAAGGACTGTGGATCAATTACCTACTGTAGCAAGGGATTTTTCTCTAAAGACAATAATTATTTCAGAGATTAAATCCAATTCATCAAAATTCTGGGATTTATGTCACTCAAAATCTGTGAATTTATCAACTTAATACAATGACCTGACCTAGAAATGTTATGTCTATAAATCAGTGAAGACACCTACACACATGTAATTTAAGTTGACACACTCAAAATAATCAAATGAACAACAAGTTGACAAGCTTTGACCAGAAATTATGATGAAAACACAGCGATTCAGGGCGACATGTCATGTACACTTTCTAAATATGAACGCAAGAGGGCCTTCATCAAATTTCGTTAGCAACGGAAAACGGGACGAAAATCCTAATTTACACTAAGTCTCATTAAAATACTCTACCCCTATACCTCACTATATTGTGCCAGAGTCCCCAATACATTGAAATACTACTGCTTCATGAATGATGATTCGATAAAAATGGAGAATATTTACCTATTAAAAGCAAGCGGTGCGCAGGCCAGCGGCAAGGGAGACAGCACGATGGGGAATGGCGTGTCACCGCTTGGTGGCGCTGTCACTTACCGCGCTTGGCGAATTATTTGGGAACATGCGAATTTCGGTACCTGCACATCCTTACATATAGACAAGCTGGCTCGAAATAAGGTGTGGCTGGCAGCAGCAACGACAAGCAGTCAAGTGACCTACCGTTGCTTGCTTGCTCTCCAAAAAAAACTCGCGAAAAAAAATCACGGAATGTGCATCTAAAGCCCTATGCTTTTGAGACACTGCACGGAATAAAAAGGCTTTTTCGCACTGCATGTCATTAGCAAATTGTTACACAACTCTGTATGCTCTATTCAACGGAAAACACAAGAGGGCGCTCGCAATGCTTCGACAACTTTTGCATCGCTGTTTAACTAAAAATATCAGACATCGACAAAGAAATATTTTACAGACGGGACCTGGCAGCATAATTACAGGAATTTCAGTCTTGCCGGTCACATTAAATTTGCATTTTGATAAAAGTGAATACACAGGAGGATAAACCTTAGATGAATTTAAGAAAGTTGTCACCATTTGCACATCTCCTTATGAGAACATAATTTCCCTGAAATTACTTGTATACAAACATGTACAGTGTGTATCTTTCATTTAAAACAGTTAGATCCAACTGATGTCGACATTTTTCCACACCAAATGGAAAAATCCATTCTTTAAATAGGTTGCCGGTTTTGATTTGCATGATGCAGAGACAAGGATTGTGCCATTCTGTTACACGGTATAGGGAAGGGTGAAGTGGGAGGTTGATGGGGATGAAGTAGCGTTTTTGTTGGTACACAAGGACAAGGGGAGGTGTAGGGGAAAAAACCGGTGTGATAATAGGAAAGGCAGGGAGATCGGTAGGCAGCTAGTGGGGTGTAGTGGGCAGACTGACGGGGAAGGGACTGGGAGGGGGTTGAGGACTCGGTGCTGTCTATATCTACTATGACCTTGAAATTGAAACAACTGAATGCACTTGCTCATAAAGATCTGGTGATTTTTGTATGTTGTCAGTATGGTGTACGTCTCCGTTACACCCGTTACCTCTTCATTGATTTTTGTGCTTTGTCAAGATACTGACATTTTGAATTTTTCTGGTTGCAGAGCCGAATAAATGTGGACTATTATGATGTTGTGCATAAAGCCTATAGTTGAAGTGAAAATAAAAATGGTGTGTCACTTGATTTGTTTGGTGTGTTGTTCAACACTTACCTCTTGTTCTATTGTTAAAAAGAGAGCTCTGAGATACAAGGTTTAACTTTGATTATGATTTATTAACAGATGAGAATTAATCTCAGGCAAAATCTGCTGGAAACCCCTTTGTGCTGTATTATGTCAAAATGTTACACCCGTTACCACGTGGATGCAGCAGTAAACCGCATGATGTTGTGGCACTACTAGCATTGCTATTTATTTTTGCATCTTAAAATTAAGTACACCTAATGTTCATTTAAAATACACATAAACATGAACACTTTCAGTAACTTCATATTTCAGCCTTCAGGTCATGCTTATATGGCACTTTACTGTGCATTGAGCCATATGTTGCTTTCGCGCAGAATAAACTTGAAGCACTAGTCTCACTGCACAAAATTCCAATGTTTACGTTCGTTCGAGCTGTGACGAGGCTAAAAAATATAATACATTTTGGAGGCAAAGTGAGTGCTCCCAGACTTGCTACAAGCCGTTTCCCAACAATAATGTGTTACGTGCGGGGAACGCACACGGCAGAAAGAAATAAGTAAAAAAAACGGGAATCATGACTTTTGAATCAAAAGGCAAAAGAGAGACCAATATATGATTAACAAAATTTAATTAATTCTCCCAAATCAATCAACAGGACAGTGGGTGATACAAACGTTCTCAGTTAGTCTTCAACTTTAAACGTCATGCAAGAACCCCAAAGCATTAGACACAGGCAAAGCTAATAAGCAAAACACACAAAAAAGGCAAATTGTATTAGGCCGAATATAATTACCAATAACGAACCAGTAGCAGAAACAGGCCCCGCCAAGCCAGTGCCCACAACGGTATTATCGCAGCCGTCGAACCAAGCATCTCCGCACCCAGCCGTAGATCAGCCAAGCCACAGGTAAGTCGGCGTTGAGCACCGGGAAGTCAGCCACCTAAAGCAGGCCACGACAGTCCAGGTCTCCGTCCAGTAGTACCGTCAGCCTCGGCCACGATCCAGCGATGAGGGGTACGTAGATTGATAGGACGGCGGGAGATGCTGTCTCAACGACGCGCTAATGAAAATCGCACATAATGGTTGTACATGGGCACCAACTGAGACCGAATAAAAGCCAGTCAGTGCTTATATAGGGTATTTACCCGCGCGTAGCCACCATAACAAACATTCATTAAATACCGAAAATTCTAGTGCGGGAGCAACCGTAGTAAAGGATTATAGATTAAGTGGGTTCGTAACACACTCCCCTCCATAAAAAAAGTTTGAACGTCAGGGAAAACTTTCTTTTTAAACATTTGGCACGCGAGTAAAGCCCTTATAGAATTATAAAGTTTACACTCCATTATACATAATTACTAATTATTAATTATTAATACCAATGTAATAAAGTTATTAACATAATGTTAATTGGAAAATGTTAATTGGAAATAAATGAGCAGTTTTAATCGAACCGCTGCTGACTTATGGAAATACAAAGTTTTGAAGAAAACGTGCAAATCACTTGCAAAACTCAAACTAAGCGTACACTTGATCTCCCGATACTGACCTTTTCTTCTACACTCATACTGCATGTGTCGGTTCGGAAATCCATGTCTGCGATTTTTTTGGGCTCGATGGTCTGCTGAGTGGAGTTATTCCATTGGCAGCTACTCTCTGTGCTCGAAGGTGTATTCAGAGAATTTGTCACTGCAAACTTCACCTTATAGAACACTGTAATCACATGGTTGCAGGTCTTCCCATAACCTGCGATGCAGGAGCACCACGAGGACAGTAGGGTACCATCATGGTTGGCAAGTACCCATACCTGGTGGGATTCAGCCCTGACGCTCTGTGATGAAGTGACTGAACACTTGAGGAAACACTTGTCATCCTCAACTGCCGCCCATTTTACTGGCCCAACAAACTTGCTTGCAAAGTACGAGTATGCCTTGTGGGTTTTGTACTTGCCGATGAATAAATCTATGTTAAAATCTTTTGTTTCCAATATATATTGGAAAATCTTGCCCAGGTCGATTACGGGCCACTTGCTGACGTCTTCAGACCACCTGTCTTCAGGGATGCTCAGGGGATCTGGAAGCCCCCTTAAGTTTACTCCGTATTGGCGTGGCAGGTTTTCTTGGTGTGTTTCGTCAGACGCCTTGACGGGTTCCTTGTTCCCCCATGCCCAACAAAAGCCCTTGCAACGAGAACCTGTTTGGAGCCTGTGGTGCTATGTGAGCTGCATTTTTACATAAACCCAGTAATAAGACTTAATTCAGCAGTTAATTAGTGAAAATTTATTAGTAAAGATACGTGGCGTGAAACGCCAATGCAGGTTTCCGACATATTGGCCCTTTCTGTTCAATGTGTATTTCCATAGGCGTGTTTGAGCACGCGCACGCAGCTGAAAATGTAACAAAGATATGTGGCTCTTCTTGAAAACGCAAATCTCATTTGACCTACTTTTACGTATTTCCGTGCAATGGGTTTTGTACGCGTTCAAAGTGTCAATATGTATATGGCTCTTCGTGAAAACGCAAAATTCATTTATCGAGATTTTGGCCCCTTGCAACATTAATGTAACTTGGAAATTAATGATGTTTTGCTTACAGAAACATGTCAAAATGGTTAAGTACATTGTTTTAAATCAAAATATTAAAAAAAAAAAATCGAAAAAATGGTAATTTTTGACATATGTAGCTCTTCGTGAAAACGGTGACGAGAAGTCAAAAAATCAAATTAATGATTCAGCGAGAGTCTGTTCAAAGTTACTGTATAAAAATTAAACAACTAGGCCTACATATTATTTCAAGCTTGCTACGCAATGAATACAGAAAACTCCACTAAACAAAAATGGTAATTTTTGACATATGTGGCTCTTCGTGAAAACGGTGACGAGAAGTCAAAAACTCAAATTAATGATTCACCGAGAGTCTGTTCAAAATCACTGTATAAAAATTAAACAACTAGGCCTACATATTATTTCAAGCTTGCTACGCAATGAGTACAGAAAACTCCACTAAACAAACAGCCCCGCCTATGTGCCCTAGCCTATATCAACCCCGCTGAAACCAAATCACTATATGCAGCCACTTATCGGTCATCCAAGATTTTTGATATCTGATATTTTCAATCTTTAATGTTGTGTGATCGTTTCCAACACCAGATTACAGTATATCCTCATATGAAAAATATATGCCTACGTAAATGTATTTTGAGGCGATAGGGGCAATGGAGACGCAAAGACAGTGATTTGTTCAGTTCCTTAAAAGTGGGCCGAACGAAGTAAGGTCAAAAGTGAATTACAGCTATAGGGGGCGGGTCTTGATATTTGTCAGCACTGCGCACGTGCAGTGCTCCTAACTTCCGTTCTGAACTACCCGTAAATCATTCATTATTCAATACTTCCGAGTCAACAAAGAGGTTCGGACGTTCTGCAGCCGTCGCTACGTTAGTTGCTGCTGATGTGCTGATAGGGGTGAACTGTTCCGACTTCAGTAAGCAGATATTTTAGAGATAATTTCAGAAGATTTGCAGAAAATCAGTTTTGCGAATACCTGGGCTAGCTGTGCGCGAACATTTCAAGCGTGCCGCGCGGGGAGCATTTGCCCCCCGAACAAGATGGCGCATATAACCGTGAAAGTGCTTATTGTTTTTTTATTTTATTTACTATCGAGTATGAAACACATTTTCATGAGGATTTATGTCATACGCGCTGGAAGGTAAGACAGTTAATTTCAATTAGTAGTCTTTCGGCAGTCACGTGGTAGGAATGTGCATGCCATTACATTCGTTTCCTCAATCGTACCCGTGCCGCCCGCATAAAAATCAACAAATCGTTCGAAATGACTGTCAAAATGTCGACGAAATACATTCTCAGGAATGTCACACATTGATTTAAACTTGGCTTTCCTTTTACAATCATTCGT